CGTAAGATTCTACTGTAAAATTTTACTTGGGTAAAATTACGATATAAAATCCAAATGTAACATTTTACAGACGGTATTTATATTTTTCATCATCAAGTACGAACCGGTGAAGTATGGGAATCATTATACATATCCATGGTGGGGTGAAGGATTAGGAATAACAATATCCTTGATTTCTATGGTCTGGATACCACTATATGCTATATACTATTTAATGACAGAGTCGGGGACTTTAAAACAAGTAATGGAATGTTAAATACACGTATATTGGTTACAGACATATAAATTTGTTTTGCTCAATTACAATTGTGTTTTTAGAAGCTCAAACGAGGTTTTACGCCTATCCCAGAAGTCAAATGCAGAACTACGATAAAAAAAGAAACTAAGAACATCATTGATAAGAGAATCAACATACAATTAATGGAATGCAGTGCGTTGGTTTACTGTGACAATAATGATAGTAAAAACATATAAGAAACCTATTTTAGTTAACTATAGCGTTTAATGTTCCATTATTCTTACATAAAAGCAGTATTGTATTTGTTAAATAATTCAAATAGTTAACACTAAAACAAATGTCTATATTTTTGACATATTATAGAATTGTATTTTGTTTGTAAAAGTTGATTTATATAAGATAATTAGTGTCTTTTAAGTTTTTTATATTGATTAAATTATAAAAACTATTTATATGATTTATAAATTATAATATTATATTACATAGTGCAGACTGCAGGTGCATTATGCAATAGTGTTTAATTTCTTAAAGTAAATTGTTCGTTGTACTGGCAAAAAATAAATTATTTAGGATTCTACAGTATTGTATGTTCTAAGTTTCTATGCCGATTTGTTTCCACAAAATTCTAATATAATAAATAACTCACAACTATAAAAAATATTTAGGCTGTTAATACTATTAAAATAAATAAACTACTTGTAAATGGGTAAAATATGATATGTAATTTAAACATAGCTAATGTTTCGTAATTTGTAAATTGTATTGGTAATTTATGGTATACCAATATTCTGCCACTCTACCTATAAACTATGGCCACATAAAACTTTAATAGATTAACTTTAATAGATTAACTTAGTTGGCCTAATAACATAACTTGTGAAAAAGTTATATTACTCTTGCCATGTTGATGCCAATACTTATTTTATTTTTTCTCTTCTTAGTGACGAAGTTGTGGGTCCTAACCTTTCATATTAACGACCACCTCATATGGGCATAACCACCCTACACATAGAATGCTTTACCAGTTTAAGAACGCACCTAAGTTTTTCGGCTGTACCTTACTCATAGAGAATTTAACCAGTCGCAGAGTGAACTTTCTTAAGTTGTTAAATTCCTCAGAGCACATACTACTATAAATTTAAAATTAACATTTAATAATAATTTATAAACTAATATAATTCATTCCCGAGTCAAAGGTTTTTAAAATATTGTTGCTATGCGCAGCTATATACAAAGTGTTTGAAATCGTGTCACAGTATGATAATATTATTTCTGTATAGTATGGTTACAAAGAACACTATACGAATATAATTCATTACATTATTCTTAAAGTTACAACGCACTTTCCTTGAATTTAATAATAGTAATATATTAGTATTGTGCATATCTATGATCATGTCGAATTTCGCAGTACAGAATACATCGTCTGCTGCAGAAGTCGAGTTTCGCTCCCTGTATGCTGAATCGATCGCGATGTACCGAGTTTTCGACGAGCTAAGAAAAACTGGCCGATTTGCGAAATCGTGTTGGCAAGTCGCGGTGATTTGCCGCTTCGATGTCCACGTGGACATGAAGTCCAATGTCAACGCACAAGGCTTCTGAGGGCGGTGCATCCGAAATCGGGTCTGCGGCCCCGAAGCAAGAGCCGGCTCTTATCGGTTTACCGTCTGCCGGCGACGACTCGATGCAAATAACAGCCCCGGTTGTCATGGCCCGATCGACACGGTTGTGGAAAATTATGCCAGACCGAAAACTCCGTTATCATATTTCGTTGGACGACACCGCAGTAATGACACTACCGTTGACGCCAAAGTCAAGATCGATACGCCGTTCGACTCGTCGCCGCTGCTTGTTCGGCCGGCCGACGCGAACGTGCAGCAATCAAGCCGCGAAGCCGGACGTCGCAGTACGGCTTACTTCGGCTGACATCGAGTGCGTCCCGGCGCGAGTTTCGATCGAGACGTCAGAGTTTGAAAACAGCCGAACTGACCTCAAGTCATGGGCGGACATTTGGTTAAATTTTTTGAGGGGCTACAACAATCAAATGTAAAGTGACTCGCAGGGGCTTCGCCCCCGCAGCCCCTTCCTATACATAAGTATATAATATTACTAATACAAATATAAATGTTTGTTATAATAAAAAAAAAAAATAACATAATATATTTAAAAATAATTAACAATTAATTAAAATATTTTAATAACAAATATCTGTTTTTATCAGCAAAGATATTTAAAATATCATCGCTATTAATATTTTTTGCAAATACTTTGAAAACAAAACTATTATTATTATTACTATTATTATTATTATGTCAGCGCGGCACGCGAGAGACCGTTTCTATCGTCAGATCAGTCATGACCACGTGACCACATGAGCTAATTTTCGAAAAAAAATTAACAGATAATTATTGAAACAAATAATATCAATAATACAATTTCGAATTAAGTTTCGATTTCGGGGGGCTATAATTTAATGTATTATTTCATATTTGTATGTGACTGCGATTGCATATAATTTAAAATTTCGTTTTATACACATCCTCACTAAGATATCTATAATATTTGCTATACATTGTTCAGTCCATCAATTAATGTGACATGGCGTCAAATAAATAAATAACTATGTCAGCGTGCTTTGATTACATATAGATTACCTGGTAGTTACACTTAAATCTTAAGTGGATTTCAGTACACAGGATTTATTTTCTCTCCCTCAGTGACCCACGTGCATCATAGCAAATGTAAGTTTAGCTGCGGATGAACCATCAACCAACCCTGTCCTATTACCTACTTTTATTATTTTTTTATCACCTATTATCAAACTTTAATTTGAGAACATTACCTGTGTCTCTAAAAATATTTAAATTTGTATACAATTTATAAGCATTTTTAAATTGTAATAACTTTCACGCCCATAACTTTCGTCAAAGTAAAAAAAAATCATAAAATACCAATAAACGTAGACACACAGGTAATGTTCTCAAATTAAAGTTTGATAATAGGTGATAAAAAAATAATAAAAGTAGGTAATAGGACAGGGTTGGTTGATTATTGGTATTTTATGATTTTTTTTTACTTTGACGAAAGTTATGGGCGTGAAAGTTATTACAATTTAAAAATGCTTATAAATTGTATACAAATTTAAATATTTTCAAAAATCGAGAACGAAATACGTCAACGTAGAGACACAGGTTATGTTTTAGCACAAAGTTTGATAATAGGTGGATTCACAATAATTTAAAAATTAACAATTCAGGGATGGTTTTGCTAAACATAAATTCGCTATGTTGAGCGTGGGCCAGAGGGAGAAAACAAATAGTGAGCTGACATTATCTTAATGATTAATTTTATCATAATCGTGCGACCATCAATTATTGAACTGACTACTGCCGGAAGTACTCGTCTGAAACTGTTGTTTTTAATATGCATAGGTACATAATACATAGTTTTCACTGTAAATGTGTTATATACTGCAGCGGTTAGGTTAGAAAAGTATTTTTATTGGTTCGAAATTATATAAAATCAAAACGCTATAAGTTAGCTACAATGTCAGTGATGGAATACCTATAGAATACCTGGATACAGAAAAATTTATATCTGTTTAGTATTTAATGATTTATGATTTGATGTCCATGATTCCATGCGTGATTTAGATTTTCTTGAGATGTTTATAAAATGCCCAATACCTTTAATAGTCCACTTAATATAATACTCATAATACACTTTATACTTAAGATTTAATTTATTGTAATTTTTTCCAATTATTATTTTATAATTAAGGTAATTTCGATATCGACGCTATTTTCACAAGCTGAGAAAAATGTTATTACTATCTATCTATCTAGATAAGGGTAGCTACTATATATTACTTTTTTTTAAGTTTTCCTGGCAATTGTCATCTAAACTCAGTGTAACGAAATTTGTTTTTTTAGCCTTTTAAACAATAAATTATTAAATTATTACCTTCGGATTATACTAACATAAAAAGGCTAATGGTTGTCGTGGGTCTTACTCGTAATTCTCGACTTGACTTGACTTGACTCATAGTTCTCGGAAAACAGGTAATGCGTTTCGTCACACTGGACCTGAGACTCAAAATACTTAGTTACACGAAACTCATTTGGTTGAAATTGTTGCACCAAGCACAACTTCTAATGCTACTTGCTAATGATGAATTAAATCTTGACTAGAATAAATTATAACATGATATCATAATTTATTATACAAATACCTTTTTTAAAAAAAGCTCAAAAGTTAAAATATATTGTAATTATGTATAATTAATCGTCCATAATATTATGGTAGTGTTGTGAACCCAATTTATGTTGTCACATAATATAATATTAGCAGTAGTAATAGTGTGTTGGTCGACGGCTCGCCGACTGGAATCCGCTGACTAGACGATTCGGCGTCCGGCTGGGTCGCAGGCCGACACACGGGGAGGAGGTTAGTCAGTCGTGTTTAGAACAGAGCATTATACATAACGTATGTTAACCAGAGTTTTTTTTATACTTATGTACATTTAGTGAAGTTAACAACCAGTAATAAAATCTATATTATTAATAACTAATCGTGCGTTAAATTTATTTGTGTTGGAACCACGGTTTCATAACAATTAACAGTAGTTAGGATTTACGAACCTAGGGGAAAAAGTAAATAATTAATACATATAGTATAGCCTTGCAGGTATAATTATGTACCACTGTAAAAATAATAGTATAATAATATAATATACATCATTGTTATTTGTTAGTCGATAGCTTTTAAAAGTAGAAACATTCATATTTCTAAATTTCTTATATTCTAGTAAAAAGTAACAGTAGATAGGTAAATAATATAGTAAGTACAGTTATAATAGCTTATATAATTAAAAATAATTTAATTACTCGTTATTCTTATATAGTGACTTATTACAATAATTCATTAAATTTATATCATGATTGTGAGTTTGAACTAGATAATGTCCGAATGTCTAGGATATCAAATGTCGAATCAAAAGAGATGGATTAGGACTTAGGAGTTAGCACAGGTAATGTAGTAGATGGCTGATGTACATTCCGTGAATTTTGCATATTATATGAGTGATATAATACACTGACTTAACTGCAGTTCCGTCAAATAATAATATAAAATACAAAGTACAATCACTGTACAAGAATAAGTATTTCGGTACTTGCATCACGTGACTAAGTGAGTACGTAGGTACTACGTATGACCTTCTTTTCCAATGATCGGGACTTTTTTTCTGCAGACCGGTAACTATATACCTAGGTAACTGTAATAACATATTGTTAATAACTATTTAGAACTGTGATAAATATATATTCAATTAAAAATTAAAAATTTTACAAAAATACAAACTTATCTAAGTATATGTTATTTCCCCATTATGACAGCTTGTGAGGTTTTATAGTTTCCGATGATAGTAGCACGTTCAACACTGTATATGACATTTTTACAATCTGAAATGAAAGATTTAAATGCAATTTAAATAATACACAAGATTGTAGGCTCAGTTACTAAATTTAGTTTTGTTATAATATTATTTATATATTTTATGTATTAGATTCTTGTACACTAAAAACCTTTAAAAGAATGACCAGTCGTTAGGTATGTGTTTTGTAATTTATACTAAATAGTACACAACAGATTAAACATTCTAATATAGTAATTAGTAGAATCATATATTAAATAGCACTATAAATGGGCAAGACCTGTTGCAACCATTTATCGCTCATTATTTGAATTTGGATTTGACTCACTATAGTGACCCATGAATTATACTTATACTCAGGTACTACTACAAAGTATTAACTAATTTTAGCTTTTTTTTTTGTTTTTCTACAAAGCTTACGTGGGTCGTGAAAAATGTAGGCCTAATAGCCTAAAAAAGTGGGTCATGAGTTCAATAAGGTTGAATACCGCTGTTCTAGAGAATAGTCGGATTTCGTAATTTTTAGATTCTGAGTGAAGCGATGAATGTATTTTACAAAATTCATGAGTTTTACTATAAAAATAGATTTATAAATACATTGTACACCGTTTGCACGGGTTTTCGCTTATCGATAATGACGTCTTAATGATCATTGTCAATAATATTTTATTATAGAATATTACATTTTCAGTTGACTGTGCGCTGTTATGAACGTCACGTTGTGTCTTTTGTCCGTTAAAATATTAACTAACTTATGAATCTTTTTATTTTTAACGAGTTTTATTATTAAATTTACTATTGAATATTTAAAGTAACAATAATCAATAATAATTGACATGTTTCATTTTTTTGTAAACTTATAAACTAAAAAAAAAAAAATGAATAAAGACTGCTAATTTTTAGTTTCTTAATACCTATTTATTATTTAGTAAAGTTATTTTCAAAATGAGCAATTTCCTATTGTTAGTTTCATACTGTACAATCTATAAACAAAATTGTGTCAGAACGACGACAAAATCTTGTTTTTTTAAGCAAAAAACTGGTAAATCATCTTTGCATAACTATATAAAAAGGTTAAAAAAATCCGAATGGAGAAAAAACATGTATTGATGAAGTTATTTGTTTTTTTGGTTTTCTGAAAATTTAGTGAATTTAGAGGATGTACACTTTGAAACTAGAGCCCTCAAATGATGTGTGCGTTTTTCTTAACTTTGTTTTTTTGTCTGAACATGAGATAATTGGTTGAAATAATCAATTTCAACATCATTAATTTTTAACTTCTAGAATCTAGTTTGTGAATTCAGAGGTCATAATTTAAGATCTTCAGTAGTTTCCAAAATCGCAGTTGAAAAGCAAAAAAGAATTAATGTAAAATATTTTTGGTGTAACATTAAAAATACGACTGTAAGTACATGCAATTTTTAGTGAATGATTAAATTATTATATTCTATACACCATAACATTTTCAAAATATTTTTACTTACTTTATGCTATTAATAAGAATAAGACATTTTCCATTATTATATTAGTTTTTTTTAAATTAATGTCGATTGTAAAATGTTCTTTCTGTAAAAAAGCTTGAGAGTTCAATACAAGGTTTCTAGTAAGATTTGTACACCGGTTAAAAAGAAACGACGAATATTCTAGTATGAAAACAAAGTTAAACAGCTCGTATGACTGTCAGAAAAGTGCAAAAACCACAAAATATGGCGTAGAGCTGACAGCTGCTCGGCAAGTATGGCGAATATTCCCTAATGTCTACCAAAAACGGGGACGAAAAACGTCAGACGGTTAACACGTGCAATTGAAAACGGGAAGGTGTAGTTGTAACTCAGGACTTAAAACAATAATATCCAACGGATTTTGTCCGGCGAACACAACGAGTGTTAGCCGGACACAGAAACACAAATTAAAGAATATTGGGTAGTACAAAATATGAAACTGAAACTTTGAACGAAAGCGAGCTGGGGGCGTAAGGCACGATCGCAAAACAATGAAACAATGAATAATGATACACAAGATTCAAGAGTAGATGCTAATTTAATCCATGGAACTATCGAATACTGGTTGTATACAAAATATATACTCAATTTGTTACTTTGTTGGTGATATTGACCATTGCACCAAGTAATATTAAGCGCTTTAATATTATAATGAAATGAAATTTATAAATACAATTTTAAAGTTAATGAAGCTTGAAATATACTGTTTTAGAATAGTATTTTTCATTATTTATGGTATTTATGGTAAGCTATTCGTCTTGACCAAATATTATTTATTCAAATATTTTAGGTTTATGTATCGTTATATTCATTAATTACATATAATTTAGTAAATTTACTTTTTGTAGCACCGACAATCACAGTCTTATCTCCTAATCTATATTTCAGCTTATGAATAAATAAATAATTATAAAATATCGTTAATGAATATGCAAAACTATTTATCTTTGTCTTCGCCATCAGATTTGTTCGATTTTGTCAATTTGTGACTTGTGCATATTCACAAGTAGGTACTTATAAATTTTACACTATGTATTAGGTGTTTCTATTAGACGTACTAATGATAGATACCTACCTATATTATTATTTATTACTCTTGGCAATTAATTATAACCCCTAACATTAACTTTCTTTATAACTATTTTATAAATTGTTATAATTTTTATAGAATTCCATATAAATGCAATAGGTAGGGGTACATAGAATTTATACAAATCTATTCATATTTTGTGATTTGTCGTTTTAGATTACATAGAAACATCAATATATTATCATATAAAGTTGTAACCTATTTTATAATACATCACTTACCTTTAGAAGTAAATTTAAATTGATGGTAAAAATGTACCCTACGGTAAAATTTAATGGTATTGTTACTCTTGTCATCATTATTAAAATAGAACTTTTAAATGATTTGTTTACGTAAAAATATGCATTATCAAAAAGAACATGTAGTATTTCATCTTGCTAAAAAATATTTTTAAAATTTACAATTTTTTCAAAAATTACATTTAAATTCATACTATTTAAATATTATACTTACTAAATCCAAAAGTACACTTCCATAAAAAGTATATATTGTAATATTTATAACAGCTGCTGCACTACTTGCTATACATATTGATAATATTGCTTGATTAATATAACCCTAAAAACAGTAATCATTTTATTTAAATTATTATTAATGCATCAGGTATTTAACTAACGTAATTTATTTAAAAAAAAATATTTTTATGTTCACATTTAAGATATATTGGTCCCCTAATGCAGTATATATTTTTAAGTTTTTTGTTTTATTAACTTAAAGAGGCTGGTTGGGCAATACTTGAATTAGAGTGTCACCCGGGACGGAGTATCACTTAAAAAATATTTTTGCATTCCCTTTCGCTTTTTACCAATTCAATATTTCAATCACTGGGGTTAATGTAGTAAAATCTGTCTATTATAATTTACCAAAAATCCAAATAGTCCCGATTCCATAATCAAGATATAAAGTTACTAATACTATTAAAGAGTGTGGACTCCATGTTTTATGTTTATAAATTTAATTTTAAGAAAATAATATTATATAAAAAATTGTTTATAACTTATAAGCTAAGAATATTATATTTTATCAATATTCACCCGAATGGCTTGAATCACGAAAGAAGTAGTCAAACCAAAATATATGGCATTGAATGACATTGACAGTAATATCGGTTTTGCAAATACTATCTTCATTGTATTAAAATATCTGAAATTAATAAAATTACTGTGCTTAATCCACCTTCATAGACGGTTATTCTTTAGTTTTTAAGTGAATAATATATTGGTTCAACATGCTTGTATATTTTATGTGGTTATTGTGTCTGACGAACCTCTGGGAACAGTAAAAATGCCTAATCTAGTTGGTACTGTGGGAGGACAAAAGAAAAAAAATTCTCAGTACTTTTCAGGACAATAAGAAATTAAAAAATAACGGGAATTTTTACTCAGAACGAGTTTTTGATAATATCATTTTATTTTTTGTGCTATTTTTGTATAATATCTAAAAAAAATATATATTTTATGAAATGTTCAATATTTTTTAGTTCATTTTCGATTTATATAAAATCAAATGTTTGTCCGTGATTAAGGAAGCTTGAAAATTGAATACAATAACTCACATAAATAATTTATGATAAATTGTTCTTATGTCAATTAAAAAATATTAAAATTGAGAATACATGCCTTGGTACAATTGTTTGATGTAAAAATAAAAATATTAACAAAATTCGTCAAATTTCGTCAAAATCACGAATATAGAATATGCATAGGTAGGTAGATGGCTGCATCCGAGTTGGGTCCCGAATTTTAAAAGGCGCTATACTAGTTGGGTCCCGGATTTTCAAAGGTACTATACTAGTTGGGTCCCGAATTATTATAGGTATTCCACTAGTTCCTGAATATTTTTCGGTAAATACTATACTATACTAACATTTTCATTCCCATTTTAACAGACTGTCTATGATCTATTTAGACCACAGTTATGGTTAAAAATGTTGTTTACAGTTTTTTTTTAACCTAACCAACTCGTAGAGGTTTAACCGGCATTTATCGCTGTTCCACATAGTTTATTATAAGATATGTCAAAAATTATCAGATATTACCGATAACACTGAAATTATAACACGAATGCTCGAAAACCACTTACGTCTTTTTTTATTACGAATATCCCAATAGTCATATTATATACGTATAAGTACTTTTCATTTACTTTTCAATTTAATAAAATTGTATTAATATTATTGTATAATATTTTAAATTATTATAATATTTTTACTAACTATCAATTACTTATACTTTAATATTTAAAAAAAAACTGTAAAAAACATTTTTAACCATACCTGTGGTCTAAATAGATCATAGAAAGTCTGTTAAAATGGGAATGAAAAAATTAGTATAGTGTAGTACTTACGTAAAAATATTCAGGAACTAGTGGAATACCTATAATAATTCGGGACCCAACTAGTACACTACCTGCAATTAGCCCCTAGTATTCGGGACCCAACTCGGATGCGCCGAGGTAGATATAGCCATTTATTATTATTTATTACTTGTCTGTATTTTAAGTTTTAATTTTTTTTTTTGCATTGTCCCTTTAATATTATGTCATTATTTAACGGTAATAAATAGCTTATTCGACGACAAAATGAAATCATTGATCAGCTAATACAGTATAATATATTATCGTACACATTTTCTTACTTACGTTAGCAATTTTTGATGTTTGATGATTGCATATTTAAATTTTTGTTCGTCATCGTCTACTACAGCTTCTTGGATCGTTTGCACAATGGTATCCAACCTTTGTTTCAAAACGCCCACGTAATATATAAACGTTGTGTTTATGAAACAGAGTTCGATGTGTGCTATATACACTGATATTGCGTATACCATATATTTGCAAGCGTAGATTGCTAGATTGCCGGTCTGTATCGGTAATACGTCCAAGAAGGGAAATGTGAAGGGATCTCCGACGCGTACCGAATCGTGGAGAATCGTATACGTGGCCGGGAAAATCACGAACATGTTGGACGCTATCAGATGGTAGTTGGTTATTAAGTTTATTATCGACTGGTAACTGTCCGGTATCCCGCTCCGTCTCGAGTACTGGAGCATCTCGCGGATGTGATTTTGATGGTAAAGACGAAAAACGATGTTCAGCAGTATTACGCATTCTATCAACATGCACAGTAATGTGAACAGTTGAATGGTCACGCTCTCTTCAAAATGCAAGATCGATATGTACGCAGCGATTAAATAGTAAAAAGTAATTAAAAATTCGAAGTACGTCAAGTAAAGCATTTTCTTATTGTCGGTGCACCCGGTCATTTGCAAGAACATGTTGATGGTGTCTATGTGCGGCATTGCTGTAAGCCTTTATACTGCAATGAGGTACCACAGGGTGTGAGGGTTTCTTTTTTATATGTTTGCCTTTATATACACTCTGTAATCTACACATAATATTAATGTATACAATTATTAATAAAAATAAGGTATAATGTGTTTAATAATAAAATGCCAGGAATAACTAAAAAAATATATTATATAGAATGTCTGTGCGTGTCAAAATTAAAACTATAATTTTATCAACATTTTTATAGTCTTGGTTTCCGTGCCTAAAATTGGGTTGGAATATGACGTGAATACACTATACATTTATAATAAAATATTTTAATTAAAAAGAGGTAAAATAAATAAGAGGTAGAAACATGGTGGGTGACATAGGTATTTCTTATAAATATTTAGTTGATTTTTACCGCAATAAATTTCATGAAAAAAAAAAATCAAATAATAAATACCTATAATTTTCTATATGGCTACGCCTATTAATATCAAATCACACGTCAAGTGAATTGGAGATAGTACAGGGTGGGGCAGTGGGTTCTGACGATTTATAGAGAACTGTGGGGAGGTACTAAAGTATATAAGATAAACTAGTTTACCGCCAAATTAAAGTTCATGGTGTCTAGTTTTACTGTATCCAGTAATCACGGACAGGTGGCCTGTCAATCAGCGCGTTTTTGTCGTTACGGCATTTATTGAGGGTAATAATGGAGATATTACCTGGCCTCAACATTCTCCTGATTTGACTCCACCTGGTTTATTTTTGTGGCGTTATATTTTGAAATCTAAAGTATTCACTAATAATCCGCATACATTATTAGAGTTAAAAGAAAACATTAGACGGGAAATTACAGCCATCGATCTGCATATCCTACAAAGAGTTATAGACAGTACCTTTGAAAAAACGGATAGCCGACTTTTACAAAATGGCCACTCAAGTAATGTAATTTTTAAAAGTAAAGATTTTTGTTGACAGCAATTAGAAATAATCTTTATGTTGAATAAAATACAATATGTTTCATTACTTTGTTTATAATACTTGAATAATAAACTACGATTAAAATTCGTCAGAACCCATTGCCCCACCCTGTATTTGTATGACAATTGTCAATATTAAAAGTTTTAAAAAAACATGTTAAAAATGAAATCGTCTAGAAAAATTTAAATGGATATGATCTCGTATTTTAAGATTTGAAAGCATATCAATTAATCAAATATTATAAATCTTTAATTGATATATTATGTGTATATTATGTAACCATGTAAGTGTTTGAATTTATCTTTATAGGCTATACTGGAGGGATTCCGTCATCACGAGATGATACAAAATACAATACCCATAAGAATATTCAAATATTGTATAAATAAACCTACCTGGTTGGCGTATTTAGTTACGTACTGTTATGATAATGTACTATGTGTGGTAGATATAGCTTACATCCCTTCCAATTCACCAACGGCCATTGTCATATTTTGAAGGGAAAAAGGGCGTACGTACAAGATACAACACTAACTTATAATTATTATCCATAGCTACTAACGGTATACTTTAATAATTAATTTCCAATCGTTAATATATGAATAAAGTATATTGTTTTGTAATAATAGCACTACAGTGCTGTTATTATAGGTATTATATATATTTGAATATTGCACTTGTACGCCCTCGTACGACTTAGCGTGCTGTGAATATTATCGTCGGAGGTAAATTTTAATTATAGTCACCTTCAATTTTGATTTTGTTTTTAATTTTTAGATATATCTAATCAAATGCACAACCTAGGTATCACATAGATAAGAAAAAATTTAGTTTTTTACTTGATTACAACATTTTTTTATAATTCATTGTTAGTTTATATGCAAAGAGGTGAACAAAAAGTCCGAGCACATTTTTGTTGTCAGACAAAAAGTCCGATGATATAAAATATTCTATTAAATTTTCATTTATAATTACATAATTTATTATGTAGGTATATACTATAAAGCACCTTCCCATCTATAGAATTTTATTAATATTAATATAAAAAATGTAGTTAATTTTAACTTTTTAACAATGAATTGTATTTATACTATACATTTTATTTTATTATATTAATCATATTTTGTGGGTTTTCTTCATTAACTAAGTACTTGCAGCAGTTATTTTAATACATACATGTATTTAAAACTGTAGGACCTCGATTACATTACTATGTTCTTTGTTAACTTTAAAAGAGACAGCTTTACAAATATTATAAATATTTAAAAAATAGAAACATCGATTACTTTCTTTGTTAAGTATAACTGTATATGAATAAGAAAATTGAAAATAAAACATTGATCAGACAAAAATATAGTAGTATAATATGAGTACAAAAATTACTAATTAGCAGGGCTTGAAACCGTTTTTGTACCTACATATATTATACCCACTGTTATATTTTTTTCTGATCGATGTTTCTTTTCTATTTTCTTATTCTTATAAGTGTGGTAAGTAAACATCAAACATTTTTTCGTCTATGTAAAAACGATAGTCATTTCACATTTGAATTCTTTAATTTACTTTTATTATTTTGTGCGTTTAAGAGTATTATTCACGAAACAATATTTTATTTTATTATTGTTTTATATAGGCCCAACTATATCTTCATTTATGATTTATGTAGTAGCCAATAGGTATGTAGGAGAATTTTCACTGTATTTAGGTTTTATCAAAAAAAAAGGTTAATACGCAGACGCAATACTTAAAGGTTCGGTCCCTGACCTATACTATATGTAGAGTGATAAATACACAAGTGCAGCCCCATTAAATATCCCGGTGATTTTTGTTTTGCCTATCCGCTTCCATACCACTTCCAAAATGTCGGTATCCGACTCCTTACCTATAGTTACATTAATTAAATTTGGATATTAATTATATATGAAAAACCTATGTATAATATTATTTGTACAATAATATATAATATAATACAATATAATATAATATAATACAATATAATATAATATATGGAAATTCAATAGAATATATTGTATTTTTGGACTTTTTGTCCAACTTCTTTTTTAAATGGACTTTGCGTCCGAGATTCTTAAAAGTTACCTAGTTTTGCATTTTGATAAACTAAGGTATTTAAAGTCCCTCCCTCCTTAAAATATGGTCTGAGTTGCCAACAAATAAATATTATACAATTATTACTGATTGCCCGAATGAAATTATAAAACACGTACCTTATTATGAGTTACGAATAAGTTATATGATGACAACCAATTAAAATACTTACCTTTTGAATTGTCAGGTGTAGCACAGGTTGCACCCGTAGGACTGCCTATGCTGGTACAGTAGTCAATAGCACTGTACACAAGAGCCAACACGGTAGTGCTGAGTATTTCGGCTCTACCTCCCCAGATAGTTCTGGCTAATTCGTCTATTGCATTATTGCATTGTTTGATGTAAGTCAGTACTCGTTGCCCACGCAGTCGTTCCATTTATGATTTCTGTCATCTCTATAGGTCCACTCCAAGTATTTGTAATAATTGTTCTTAGGTAAAGTTGTATTGATAAATACTCCGTATTAAAAGTTACAAGTGTATTTTAAGTTATTTATTTTTATTTTGTTTGAAATAAATAGTTTTTGTTATCTACTATCTAAATCCATAGGTGTAAACTAATTGACAATTGTTACATTTATTATACAACAATCCCACTTTTAAGTACTAGATGACGTGCTATGTCATTAAATAATAAGACATGTACGCACAGAGATCAATTTACAAGATTTCTGGGCCGGTGACTTTTGAGCCAAAAGATGTCTCATAAAAAATTGTTATTTATCGCATGCAATGAAAAAATTCAAATTTATGATTAGTCGGATGCAAGGGTACTAGTCAGTCACTCAGGTAATAGTCTAAATCAGAGTATGGTAACTGTTAAGGTGTGTGTGTGTGTAGACTGTAGTGTTCTGCACAATGATCACTACACAGTCCAATATTTCCTTTTTAATTCTATTAATTTTGAACTTTTTACTAAATTCCGCCATTTAAAAAAACAAGGAGAATGTAAATATTTTTCATCGTATCACACGGCATTTTTTAGTCTCTGATAACGATTACAGATATGATAACGTGTAATTTGGATATTATTCGATTTTAAATTTATACTTCTGGAATTTGTGAATCATAATATTTAGTTCTAATTTATTATTAATATATTAGTATGTTACATTATATAAGTCTCATAAAATAATAATATTTTGATTTTGTACTCTACCTATAATATAGTCGTAGTGAAGTTAAAATTGAAACAAAATGGTTGTAAGACCGTATAGTGAAGAACTAGCATTTCTAGAAAAGAAATCTCCATTTAAATGGGAAATAAAGAAAGGATTTCAACCAAATATGAGGGTAGGTGTAAGGATTTTATTTTGAATATTTTTGGTTTTAATTAGAAAATGTTTGTTCTTATAGGTTGAAGGGGTGTTTTATGTTAATAAATTTTTGGAAAAACTTATGTTGGAAGAGTTACAAAATGCATGTCGACCTGGAATGATCGGTGGATTTTTACCTGGTGTTAAGCAAATTGCTAATGTGGCAGCATTACCTGGCATTGTTCATAAATCTATTGGACTTCCTGATGTACACTCTGGTTATGGATTTGCTATTGGTAAGTTTAGAGTAGTACCTATTTTACAAAATATGTAAGTAAGTTGTTGAATGTCCAAATTGTTCCTACTGCTATTGTTATATTATAGTATTATACATAACTATACATATACATTTTAATAATTATTAATGAAAATTGATTTAACGTATATGCAATATGTTTATGTACAGTATTCGTTTTTCCTTAGTATTAATTGTTATTGTTCTTTATAATTTTTGTTTTTAGGAAATATGGCTGCATTTGATATGGATGATCCTCAATCAATTGTTTCACCCGGTGGTGTGGGATTTGATATTAACTGTGGTGTACGATTACTCCGAACAAACTTATTTGAAAAAGATGTTCAGCCCATCAAAGTAACACTATAATAATAATTTAATTTTTACCATCAAAATATTATCATATATTACCTCAATGCTATTTAGGAACAATTAGCTCAAAGTATGTTTGATCATATTCCGGTTGGGGTAGGATCAAAAGGAATCATACCAATGAATGCAAATGACTTAGAAGAAGCACTTGAAATGGGAATGGATTGGTCTCTAAGAGAAGGTTAATATCAGGTTTTATAAATTAAAATTTTGTAATATTATTTTAAAAAATTATATTTATATCAGGTTATGCATGGGCTGAAGACAAAGAACATTGTGAAGAAAATGGTAGAATGTTGAATGCAGATTCGTCTAAAGTTAGCATGAGAGCTAGAAAACGAGGTTTACCACAGGTGAATTTTTAATTTAAAATATTGCATAATTTAAATCAGGCATGTCAAACTCAAAGTATTAGCTTTCCCAAATATATTGAATAGATGTGGGCTGTACATGAATATTTATTGAAAAAAAAAATTGTTTTCAATTACTTACAATATAATACGACACAATACTTATTTGATTGTCGTGTGTCAGAAGTCAAGATAGAAACATAATGTTTACCTCTTTCTAACGTACCTAGTTGTAACACAAACATTTTTTATGAATTTATTTTCACAATTAATTATTCATTAATTGGTATTAGTACCCGTGGGCCATTAAAGAATGATTTGAGGGCTACGTGTTTAAGATGCCTGGTTTAGGTACTAAGCAAAATTATTATTTTGAATTTTTTGAATATTTATATGCATTTTTATAGTTAGGAACATTAGGAGCAGGTAATCACTATGCAGAAATACAAGTAGTTGATGAAGTTTATGATAAATGGGCAGCAAAGAAAATGGGAATAGAAAATATTGGTCAAGTATGTGTTATGATACATTCTGGAAGTCGCGGTTTTGGACACCAAGTGGCAACAGGTATTGCATATTTGTTAAATATTTAAATACTAGTAAAGTAGTAATATATTATTATACCTGAGGTATTATATTATAATATAGGATGTGAGTTTAATTCAATTAAAATAGTAAATTAAAAATGTAAAATACATTTTTATTAGACTTTCTTGCTTAGTATTTTTAGTTGATAGATATAAATCTCAGTGGAGAATTCTCCAAAATATCCATTTATTGGTTTCTCTGTATAATGTTATGTGTGAATATTTTTTTTATTTATCTTTAGCCTAGATTAAAATGCTTTTCCAATTTTTGTCTAGTGGATCATATGATATGGAATTTGAGCACATTATGTATTTCATGATGTGTTTTAAATATTTTAATGTTATGTATATATTTCAAATTTAATTTGTTTTTGAGGTATATTTTCATGATTTTACTTAAGTTCTTATTCCTTTTTTTAAGAAATAATTTAGTGTCTTATTACAATAAAACATAAATAACATTTTAGTTGGCAGTTATAATAAATTTTAATTTGTATAAACGTTCAATTTTACATTATTTAAGGTCATGCAGTCTCAGCTACAAGGTGTTACTTATATTAAAAAGTTACAGTTCATAATTTGTTAGACATACAAACATTACACACATATTTTGGAGTGCATATTTTAACTTTCAATGTACGTTCTATGTTCAATTAAAAACATTTGAAGGGCCACGGGGAAATCGATATTAATCAATATTCCTAAAATGTTCAGTATTGAAATTTTAAAGTTTCAGAACTCAAAAACCCAAGAAATAAAGAACGAAATATTTAAAAAAAATGTATTGTAGTTGTACAACTAATTTTACATATAAAGAATAAAAATAATATTAAATTTACTTTTATTAGTGGTGAGGGTGATGACAGCTGATAAGTAAGGCCCATGATATGTGGACTTATGGTTTATATATTGTGGTTTACTTTCCTCAATAAGTAGCACTCGAATGGGTCTTGTTGGAATCGTGTTTTTCATTGGGTATAAAACTGAGAAATAATCTGTCCACGTCTTGAACTCGACTTCAATGACACAGTCAATAACATTAAAAGGTGTGAACATTAACAATTTTTTAATGAATATTTGCTGGGTTTCCATATATTTAAATCTTAGAACAGTATTGATATAAACAATAATTTATTTACAAGCTTTGAACTAAAAAGTAGAACTTATATTTTCAATACTTGTATAGAAAATACATAGCCATAAATAATTATATTAATAAATAAATACATTTGAATAGTATATTAATTGAAATTTCTAAAAATAAATCAAGTAGTAAATAATATAATTTTATTGGGAAGATAAATATATTTAAGACTTTTTTTACTTAAGATGCTTTACTGGAAATGGAAAAAGCTATGAAACGGGACCAAATTGAAGTTAACGACAGACAATTAGCGTGCGCTCGTATCAAGTCCAATGAAGGTCAAAATTATTTAAAAGCCATGTCAGCTGCTGCAAATTTTGCATGGGTGAATCGAAGTTCGATGACATTTTTAGCACGTCAAGTATGTATACTGTTGTTACTACAACATTATTGTAAATTTGTTTATAAATAATAATTAGTATTAATTATTTTTTTTAAAGGCTTTTGCAAAACAATTTCAATTAACACCAGATGATTTAGACATGCACGTCATATATGATGTATCTCATAATATTGCGAAAATGGAACAACATTATGTTGATGGAAAACCAAAACATCTATTGGTGCACAGAAAGGTATTCAGAACATAGGTTTATAGAAGTTATTAGTTACTGTATTTTAATATGTTATTTATTTATTGTTTCAGGGATCAACAAGAGCGTTTCCACCTTATCATCCTCTTATTCCAGTAGACTACCAACTGACTGGTCAACCAGTATTGATCGGTGGAACTATGGGTACCTGTTCATATGTGTTGACTGGAACTGAACAGGGCATGAACGAAACATTTGGGTCTACGTGCCACGGAGCTGTAAGTGATTTTTTTAGTTAATTTTACTTAGTTGTTATTTTAATAAAATTACTGAAATGTTTTTTTTCTAGGGACGTGCATTATCGAGAGCTAAATCTCGTAGAAACATAGACTATAATGATGTATTAGAAAAATTGCAGCAACAAGGGATTGCAATTCGAGTGGCTTCACCAAAATTGGTAATGGAGGAAGCACCAGAGTCATATAAAAATGTCACTGATGTGGTTGACACTTGCCATGAGGCAGGGATTAGTAAGAAGACCGTAAAGTTAAGGCCAATTGCTGTTATCAAAGGATAAAAATTAGTTTTCTTTTATCTTACCTCTATAATCTCTAAATTACATCTAATTACATGTATATTTTGTATTATAATATGTTCATAAACCACATTCGTATTATGTAAATGTTTTACCTGCATCAATTACTATTTACTAATAGTTATTATGTATTTCAGTGCAACAATATTTCTAGTTTTATTCAAGTAATATTCTTGGGACAGATATTAAGTTATGTATATTAAACTATATAACTCATTCTATTTAAATTTCTTAGTAAAAAAGGTAATAATTTAAATCGTAATTTGTAATTTAAATATACAATTTCATTAAAATTTGAATTTCAAATGTGTATAAAAAAATTGTGCCAATGTATTTTTGATATTTTTAAATTGCTATAATAACAACTAATGAGGTACCCTAGTTTTTTCTGTTGGGAAACAAATTTTTTTTATTGTCATAAATGAATAACATATAACAAAATTGAAAAATATATGTCTAGTAAATGGTAATATAAATATTTGGTGCAAATTTCAAGTTTTTTCGGTTATTCCTTTTTGAATTAAAACTAAAAAACAAAATAAATTTTTGTCAAACATTCGAGCCTTCATTAAGATTCCACCAATGTGTAAATGGTTGCTACATTGGCTGAAATGTTGAGTGCACCAACCTTCAACAAAATTGATAGAATAATCACTGGTAGGTAGGTAGTACTATGTATCTATTAAGTAATAACTAATAATCTGCAATACAGTTCTACCTAAAACTATGAAATTTATGTGTTTTCTTCCTGTTAGTTAACGTTTTGTTTTATCTGTTGAAACTTGAAACCCATACTTGTTAATTGATTGAAGTATTTAGCCTTATAGATCTTCGAAGGTTATCAATTTTTTTATATAAACTTACCGACTGCTAGATATTTTTCGACCTACCTTAGAGCTTGGACTTTTTCAGCAATACAATTACACTCTAGAAGTTAGCAGATAAGTAGTAACATCTATATACGACTGCAAATATATGTCGGGTATAATGTGCACTGCATAATGCATATCCATGTTTATTATAAATATTAAAAAGTATACGATGAATGATTTGCGTTAAAAAATTCAAAATGTATTATAAAAGTAAAAAAAATCTTTATCTGTGATATGGTAAATAAATAAGGTAAATTTGTTTTATTTGCTGGTAATATTTTCAAATCTTATATCGTTTAAAATTTAAAACGTGCATTAGAATCGATTTGTAACCACATAATATTATAAATGATATAAAAAAATAAAGTAGGTAAAAGTTGTTTGTTAAATTTAACATAAACTACACATATTGAATATTTTCAGTTATGCATGTACTGTACAATGGGTTGTACCTACCTGTTGAGTGTAACGTATTATAGCTGGTGCATGGAATGTGTGTTTGGTGTGTTACAATGACAGAATATTATAATTTAAATCGTTATTTGTGAAAAAAAACTTTGGGGTATAATTGTGAACAAAAATCGCTGGTATACAATCATAAATTATTATATTTTACTATTTTTAACAGTTTCCGGGAAGACAATAATTGGTGGTATTTGAGGTGCTTTGCATTCTATCAAAGTAGCCATTTCTTTTAAGTTGTCTTTGGATGCAATTGGCAACTCACCGAATTCATTTGATCTGGGCTTTATTGATCTGTTCAATTTCTAAAAAAAACAAGGAACAATGAAAACTACAGGTACCTATGCGTTCTAAAATCAAGTCATATAATTTTTTTCGTCAACAAATTATATTCTAATAATAGTTTTGTAGTTGTTAACTTACTTGGTAAAATGTCATCCCTTCGGAATGTAGGAACGTATAAACAGACATGATGGGTATACATGCCAATGAGATCATAACCATGGACCATCCTATCACGTGGACCCAAGTGGGAAAGCTCCGAGTGCCATTCATATAGGTCGGTGGCTCATAGTCTGTTAAACTGAAAGCCCATACAAACTAATAAAACAAGAAAAAACAAACGATAAATCAAATTATTATTCAGACATTTAACTGTTGTACATTTAACATGCCGCATATTATAATGTATAGAATCAATGGAAAAACCACTAGAGGTATTATTTTATCGATATCTATTACAAATTAAATTATAATTTGAGCATTTTGTGTTATGAGCGCAGTTATGTGTTTGCGCATGATGTGTTATCAGAAACGGCCAAATAGAAACGTTAAGCTTTATGTGGAGAGGGTTGCGTGAGGCTTGTGGCAACTTTATAGGTGCATATTGTCTTCGAACATCGGACAGTATTATGATAGTATAACTTACCATTAGTAAAAGGGGAGTAGTAATGTACCAACTGAATTTGAAAAACCACAGCGGTTTTGTTCCCGTGATCCTTTCGATGTCCTCAACCATTTTATTACCACCGTACATCCAGGACACCGCTATCACTTCGAAAAATGCAATGTAAATCACCGACCACGTAGAAGTGTAATAGTCAATTATTTGGAACAAGTATGTACCACCCTGTGAACAGCATATACGTAAAGAAAATCGGTCAATATAATTCAGTTGGTCGTGTTTGGACTTTGCAATGTAAATGCTCAACAAATACTCGTTAATAGTGAAAAATAAAATTTTAATGACACCCTGCAGACCTGCGTGACAAGTGGAAGTCCGAGAAGAAACGAAGCAAAGCAGACCACCAAGACCAACAGTTCGTGGCAGATAAGGTATTTTTTGACAGCGCGTGGAAATCCATCTTGTATGGACGTCACGATGACTTCGACGATGGCGAACTGAAATGAAATGAAATAAACAAGTGGTAGGTAATTACCTATTTTCTTGGTTCATACTAAGAATTTAATTATTCTACAAGTGTGGTGACATATCGTACTGCAGTACGTACCGTTTCGTATAACCGGTAAGATTTTTTTTTTACACATAAGTTGTGGAGGCAACTTCAGCACGAGTTGTCGTCCACAGATCCCCCAACCCTTATTTGGGCATAGATTTTTTCTAACCACAGACATTACGATTCGCATCAAATTCGCTGATTACATTACGTTTGGAGACTTTTTAACTGAAGTGAAGTATTACAAGGATATTATATAGGTAGGTGCAGGGATGTATTTTAGAAGGCGAGGGGGGTACCATCGCCTTAGGTGTCAAAATTTTTAATGGGATTTAGGAGTGGCAGCGTTTTTTTTAATCCATAGTCCATCATCCATTTTCATTCGTCAACCAAGAAATTAAAATATTTTAAGATTTTAGATAGCGGCTACACAGCATTATTTTATTTTACACGATAACATTATCAAAAGTTTACCGCTTAAAGTAGTATAAAACGCGTGTTTCAACGATAATGTTTTAAGTTGTCGTTATTGCTCCGGCACCGATTTTTCTATTTTGGTTTTTAAGTGTAATGCGAATTATATAAAATCGTTTAGGTGTGTTTCATGTAGAAATCATACGAGACTTCAGTGAGAAGAAATCTAGGCGCAAATTATAATGTTATAGTATGTGTGATGTGTTATGCGCATAAGATGTACGGTTAAATTGTCTTCAAATGTTTTCTTTAATATTCACATTTTTTTGGTGTGAAGCAATGTAAGGGTGACAATAAAACTTTACCTGTGACGTCAAAATTCTAAATGTACGTCTTTGGGTACGCGGCGTGGGCATGCAATGTTATGAATGCTTATGCTATAAAATATAAATTACCTCGCTGTTCAGGGCCAGACAAAACATCATGAAGAATAGTAACATCGACAGGTAGGTGGAGTACGGCATACTGGATAGCACTTTCGTGAACAGGATGAACACAATTCCTGGTCCTGCTCAATACAATATGAAATAGGTAAGTAATGAAATAAATCTGTAAGATATTATTACTGGTTTTCAGTCACTTATTTGCTGTTAAAATAGACAACAAATGCGTATTAATAAAACTATCGACGTGCAGTGTATATACGATGAGTATTTTTTATTTCAATGACCAATTTTATTGTCTTCTCTACGTAAAGTGCAATTTAACAGGTTTTTGCGTTTTAAAGTATCTGTATATGCATTTTTATGTCATAATATGTTTTTGAGTAAGTACCTAAATGTTTATGGCATTTATGCGCTTAGATAGCTCACAACCTGCGATGTACACTTAAGTTATTGTTATTACTAATTAATTATTATTTATTGTTATAATATTGTGTCATTTACCATCCGGTATGACGTCTTCCACGGACTTTCCGTACTCCTTGGCCATGCTCCCCAAAGTGGCGAACGTGAAAAGTCCCACGGCAAAACTCGAAACGCCGTTTATGAGTGATATGGTCACGGTGTCCACCATTATATTGTTGTTGTAACGATTGTACGAAGAGAACGAAATTACCAGACCGAAGGCGATACCGATGGAGCTTAGGTTTTGACCCACGGCGCTCACCCAAACCTATGTAGTATAAAATATATTATTGGTCGGAAATTTTAAATGTGAACAAATCAAATCGATCAAATTCTGTGTAGGATAGGAACATAATATTATTTTTGTCGTAAATACAAAAAATAGTAGACATAAAAAAGAAAATAATATAATATAGAAAACTTTGATTTGTGTATAGTATAGATATGAAAATGCCCAGTTCTCTATTGATGACTGATAGGTACAAAGTATAATACTATTTATGAATTATTTAAATTAATTATTGTTAGGTATGTATGTATTTACAGAAAACTATGATTTTAGTACTTATATTGTTAAAGTAAGTGTGGCGGAAAAAAATGAAAAAAGTGAAATAGAAACTTTGTTCTGCGTAGTAGACATGCAAAAATGTCGAGTTCTCTATTAGCATAATATAATATGGGTAATACAATTCATAGATTATCCAATTGAATTAATGATATGTATTTACAGAGAACTGTGACTTAAGTACTAATATTACCTAAGTAACTTTAATAGTTTCCCTGTAATATATAACTTATTACTTAGTAAAAAGTATGTATATCAATAACTATATTGAATATTCACTATTACGTAATATAGGTACAAATCATAAGGCTACATTTATTGCGATTTTGAAATATTTTAAATTATCAATAGATGATAACGTTTATGGGCTATGCCTTACGTTAACTTAAATTTGAAGTCTGTAAAAAATAGTTATAAGTTTAATCACAGTAGATAAATTATTAAAGTTGTAAAAATGTAAAATAAGATCTTTAAAATACCTATGCCAATTTTTCTTAAAAACAACGATTGTTCATTAAAATAAATCATTAGCTTGTACGCTGGGTAGTAAATATTTTGCTTAAATGTCACGTTAAAATATTACGTAAATCCCACAAAATCTTTACTTAAAGCTGTGAAATATATTTAAATAATGCTAAGTAAAGTTCGACTGCGAAGTACGAGTCCTTGGGAATTTAAATATACAGATATGTTTAAACGCATTAAAGTTTTAAAGATGTGTTGTTACTTGTTAGTTGTTCGTTGTATATGATAATTTATTACATATGGTAATTTATAGGTATATTAATTTGCTTTCATACTAAGTTATTTTTTAACATGTACCGGTGAAAATTTAAAAAATGTATGCTGTTGAAATTGTATATCATAATAATTGTTTTAATACCTAGTTTAAAAATTTCATTAGAAATTCTTATGATTTTCTCTAATTTAGTGAATTCCTAATAAAATGACACTAAAGAGAACGCAATTAGATACAAATATTTTTACCTAATAAAAATATTAATTATAATATCTTGTGTATACTCCATGATGGTTATATAACGTATATTGTATAGTGTATACTCACTAATATGATATTTATATATGTCTTTGTGTCATGTGCGTATGTCATGCACCTATACGTATTATATTGTTTGTAAAATTGTAAAGTTAAGGCCTTAAGATTAGTGAAAAGTAAAATTTATTACGTTAACAAAATGAATTATAATATTGTTAAATTGATTTTTTTTTAAGTGGTTTTATATCTAAAATTCTTAAAAAATATATTACTACTTACAAAATATATTACTTTAATATAGATATGATAAACTCTTAACATCTCAAGTTTCAAGGATGACTTGTCTACCAACATATAGTATAATAGTATTACCGGATAGGCATAATAATAATCATATACATGTTTAATACCAGGTTATCTAGTCTAATTTGTAACTGCTTATTAAATCGTTGGTATAAATAATAAATATACAACATTTGTGTTATTTATCACGCATTCGGATTAATAATAATAACTTGTAAATTATTTACTCTGCAGGTCTTATCATGGACGTCTGAATTTTAAGGTCATAATTCGATGCAAAATGTTCAATGTTTACACATACACTCAAATCAAAACATCAAACATGCTTAGGTTATGTTCGCGTAGATAACAAACATCGACTTATGACTCGATAAATGTTCGTTCTTACAAACATTTATCTATAATATCTTCATATTCGCACCAGGAAAATAATACTGCACTTAAAATGTATTTGAGTACTACAATGCAGTTTAGTTTATTATTTACTATTTTAGTTTATGAGCTTTATAAACTGTGATAATAGGTATAATAAACAGTTTTCAATATTATGCGGCTATATTTTCCCGGCAATCGTATAATTTTCAAATATTTTAAGTTACCCATAATGTTTTAAAAAACACTGGGCACTTAAACTCGAAGTGGGTACCTACATAGTTTGTCTAGTTTGTTTTGTCACGATCGTAATAATTGTATGCTGTGACCATTTTTTGGAAACCGCTTAACATTTTATTTGTTTCATTCTACTTGGAAAAATATTTACTAATGATTTACCTAACATAGCGTTTAAAAGAGTACCTAATCTACCTGACTACCATTATTAATACATAAATCGAATTCCCGAGTAACTAAAAATCACGGGCGTTTGTAAATGACGATCTGACGTGGGGAACAATAATATTTTACGGGGAGAATAATAAAATTAAGGACGATTGACGTCTGCTGTGATGACAATCATAATAATAAAAGCGTGTTTGACGTAGGTACTCGAACAATTTAACAGTGCATAATACACAAAGACTACTACACAGTAATGTTAACAAACTCGACGAATGAAAGAACCGATGACTTCTTAGACGAGGAATGAACTGTCGACGACGGACGGTAAAATAAAGTTCATCGCGAATGGATTTAGCGGACGAAAACAATTTTTCTCTCGTCATCGTTATGCCATAACTAATTTATATATTATAATTTATAATACATATCACAATTACAAATATTACTATAATAACTTATTATAACCTGACCTTGTCGTCTGACTGCGTGAGGTGGAATGATTCGAATACGTATATAGGTACTACGAGCACTTGCACGCGTAGGTAGGTGGTTTAGTGGTTACACATATCGTCGTAATACGCTCATTTTATCCTGCACTTTTGTTCGCTTTCTACGGGGCAACAATAACGTCTAGACTGGTATTGGTAAAAAAAAAAATATATAAGCAGGACATTATAAACGTAACAAATACGCAGGACTTATGTTGGTCGAGGAAGTAGGGGGGCGATGAAAACTCATATATATTATGATATTATGACGAGATGAAAATATTGCACTGAATGATTGTACCCACTTACTATACGTATTCGCGGTCATCGTGGTCGTATAAAACACGACAAACATACCTTACATATTATCGTGAAATAATATCCCGCCGTAAACCAACCATAAAATATACAAAACATTTTTTTGAAAAAAAATTTGTCTACGCAATTTGATGTCATGATTACAGCACCTCATTTTTTTATGACGATTTCATTTTTTACTGTATGATTTTAAAAGTATTTCACTTTTTTTTAAAGGACAACATACATTTTAATGTCATACTCTGAAGCAAAATATTTTTCTCAGAATTTTTTCTTTTAGAAATTAAAAATTATTTTCATAATAATATGTCGTTTCGTAGTGAATTAATGTTATCTATGTACATATTATGTTCAAAAACGTTTATAAGTACTTGATGATTTTCAAAATAATGACTGTCAATTCCTTTAAAAGTGCCATCCTGCATTGAGTGTTCAACCCTACTAACCTTCGAGTCCAACAGCAGTTCCCAGCGGAGTTTGAACAGGAAATATTCGATGCCTATGTCGGCGCCGTCAAGCATTAGTGACCTGACCAACAGTACGGCTAGCATGGCGAACGGCAGAGTGGCGGTCAGGTGGAGGACGCGGCCGGACGATTCGGTACTCTTCCACAGCTTGAAGTACACGACGGTGGACACGACAAACATGCACACGGCCAGCTCCCAACGGACGTTGCCCAACGTGTTCGGGTCTTTTGCTATCTTCAGCATTTTCAAGCTGTAAGATGTGATAAAAAATATTTTAGAATAATACCCAAAGTACAAAAATTGTTTTTTTTTTTAAAGAAAAATATCAACGAGATGGAAGGCGCTATAACTGGTAAGTTAGTTCATACATCCTATGTTTTTGGGGAAGATTTAATAATACTCTCCCGAGGCTACCCTTGAATATTGGTTTTGGAACGACGTCATTACGATTTATCGTGTCTCAGTTATTCGAAAAACACAACTCTCTATAAAATCAGAAGTACGTTGCAGACTCTCAAAATTGGTAGAAATTTAAAAATGTGTTTATGTATGATAATATATATATATTTGTGTACAGATTGATAGATACATGGTACATGATCAAAACTAAAAACACTGTAACACGTGACATATTTTACATTTATTATCATCGTTTGGAAACTGTAATGGAATTCATTATAATATAATAATATTATAAACAATAACAATATTCATGGCCGTCGGGAAGAAAGGAGGAAGTTAAACGAGCACGACGATTATTACATGCGATCTAGCGAATGTACAATAATCAAATCGAAATACTAGTAAGTATTATTCATACTTAACAGTCGGATTTTCGTTAATTTACCGATGATTAATTAATGAGTCTATGGTGAATCTATGAACCTAACAGGGTTTTTTCACTCCAATGTGGTCAAACTGTTCGATATCATATGAACGGCACGAGCTACGCGTCAAGTCATTACCCCCAACCACCTTACAGTAGTATTCAAACCTGTGATTAACAGTAATCAATCATGAGGCAATCATCGTGTGATTTCCTGCCAAAACCTGTAACAGTCGTTTGATCTGCAGCCCGAGTGTTATTTTAATAATCTAGCGAACTACTAAATATGTTTTTCAACAGTCAGTGTCTCGACATAATATAATATTCGGTTAGGTCTTAACCGTTGACGAAACGTAAGTACACGATGGGTCATTATTACTATATTTATTGCAGTCAACACTTTAATGCAATATTATATTATGAGATACTCATGTCTTACATTAGTCGAGGATGGATATATTATAGCCACTAGGAGTATTTTTTTTTTTGTACACACATTGTATTATTGTACGTCATAATGTCATACACAATGAGACGATCGCAACACGATGAAGTGTTATAATTTATAGTTATTTGCAGTTCAATTGTACTTGGGTATTATATAAGTATAGGAACCTATTATACGTTTTAATCCATTACGCTATAATAGACTGCAGGTGTGTAATAACTTTTATCCTATCCAATACAAATCATTTCTTTCTTATGTTATTTTTGCAATTATATTAAGTTGGACAAGTACTTGTAAAACTCTTCGGTGGGACTTCTGCCGTCCAAAGGCCTAGTGGTGTTACTGCCTGCCATCCAGCAACTGTCAGTGTTCCACCTGTTGTTACAGTGGGCCCACGGCGGCTGGTCTTGGATCGACGAGAAGAAATAGTACAGAGTGTATGCAATGATCACGTTGTAATAGACGGATACGAAAAACGACGTCACCACGCTGGATAAACCAACACCTATAAAAAAACGGAAATCGGAAATCATATGTTAGTCATCGTCAGCTTACACGTGACGTGTTAGATATATTTTGTATGTATCATCGCAATGATGTACCATTTAGTTTAGTTGCTTATATTTCTCATTTATATGCTAAAGTATATATGCTACGGTCGGTAACGGATTTATTATTATTTTTATGCGAACATTTATTTGGTTAGACTTTATAGTCGATAGCTTATTAGTTTCACTAGGTAGCGCCTTTGAAAATTTTTAATCTAGCTTGATTTACTTCTATTGGTATTTGAAACATAAAATAACTGGCCTTTCAACCATACAATATCAAAACGAGTTGCGAGTTTAATAATTAACTTTTTTATTTCTCCGTGTTAGTTTTTTATGCAACTAAAATATTATGATTTATAACTCAGGTATAGCAGCGTATTATTGAATATTATTATTAATTTTTTACCATTATTAGTATTCATTTACAAATTAATTAAGTAATATTATTCACCACTATTATACTTGTTTCTAAAGTTCGATCATTCGATTTTACTTCACAATAAATAATTTTTCATCATTAGAAAATTAATACAAATAAATTATATTTATAATAATATAATATAAGACCATAAAAATGTATTAATGGAAACATATGTCTGTGTATACTGTATGGTTATGTTTTATATGGTGCTTCTCATGTTTGTCATCGTCCAAACCTGCCGTTCAAAAATATTTAGGTACAATCATGTATCCCTCACCTCCAGTAAAATAAGAGTACACAAACTAAAAAAAAAAATATTTAAAGAAAACAGATTTTAAGTTCCTAACACAAAAACATAAGTTATTAATTTTTAATCTTTAAGCTTAGGTTTAAATGAAAAATACCAAACCAGAGTCACAAAGTTGAATACGAATGCTATAGATGCTAATGTAAACCGAACCATTATTTTCTCTGAGGTCTTACGAAGCACGCACATGCTAATATATAATTGTTTTCATTAAAAATATTGTAATACGACTAATAGCTAATACCTACATAATTATTATGTGTTGAAATATTCATTAGCAGGTAATATTAGCAAGTATATATAAAATAATATTAAACGTGTAATATACTATTTATTATTCAAGAGCACGAGTAGGCCAGTTATTAGTTACATTCATCCAATATATTTTGATTTGGAATTTATTTCAAATAATTAATAATTATTTATTTTTATCTACAAACTAAAAAAGTCTTAGACTTTTAGCCTTAACAAATATTATTATTCATCCTATTATTATCCTTATTTCATCATATATTATTTTATGTCAATATAAAACAGTTTATAAAAAGCCGATATTGAAGTTGGGTAGCTCCAAGAGAAGGTATCTTTATATTTGAGTGAGAAAATAATGATAAAACAATAAAGAAAATTTCATTTCAAATAAAAAAAGAATAAAAAAAGAAAAGATTTGTCCAAAATGTGTGCTCGTTAATATATTATCATAATAAATAGTTGTTAACATTTAAATATTATGCATAATATGCATATCGAACTCATACATTTATATATAGTCTAACCAAATAGAAATATAATAAAGATAATTGACTTACCTTTTAGAATTGGACATAGTTTCGATATTGCACTAATTGGTCCTCGTTTAGTAAACTGTCCAATAGCCAATTCTAAATATAGTAACGGTATTCCACAAAATATCATCACCAAAAAATATGGTATCAAAAATATACCTAGTAACAATCGTTAATGTATTAGAGTAATATTACAAATGCATAAATCTCTAACAAAAATATATGTGTATAACATGTTTCTATAAAAGTTGAAATTAAAATTAAGGCCGTGGGGTGTAACAAAATTAAAATACCAACACGGTAAATTAAGTTACAATTTTCATACAAAACAAAATAGAAGCATTTCCTTTCGATTTAGAACGTTCCAATTTTCTCTACCATTAATTATTGTATTGTCCCCATTATAATTCGTTTAAGTGACTTTTAATATTTCTTTAATTTAATTGATCAATAAAGTTCTTTGTTGTGTTTTGTTTGTTTGTTTATTTGTTGTTTTATTTTGTATTTTTTTGTATAAATATTGTCGACATTGCCATTTAATTCAACTGTAAATTTAAAACAATAAAAACTGCAATAGTGAAGCTCCCGCCATCATGAATTAATGGCTCCCTCGGCCTATGATAAATTGGCTTCTTCCTATTAAACCTTTAGTGCAATCATTTCACGATAAAATGTCAGTAATTTTAATTTTAAGTTTCCTGGTGTAAATCGTAAATTAATTGACAGAAACTTAGACGGCTTACCTCCGCCACTTTTATGGCAGTGATATGGAAACCGCCACATGTTGCCTAGGCCAACCGAACAGCCCAGGCATGCTAAGATGAATTGCAGTTTGCTGCGCCAATAGTGAGTCCTGGTCCTGGACCGGAAGTCCGATAACGACTCGGCAAGTGACCTGGAACAACTGCTGCATTCTGTAAAATCACCGTCGTCTTTTTCAATAAATCTGGAAAACACATTAGAACAAAATTATATTTTAGTTGATCAAAATGTATACATAAAAATATTAATTCGAGTCAACATAATATCACGTATAAGATAAATATATCGATACAATGAATATTAAAAATCATTTATATTCAACTTTTAAAATTTACTAAGGACTTATGTTAACACTAAAAAAAAAAAAATGAAAATAACACTTAATCCTAGTAAACTTTATAAAAGTCGGTCAGAACTCAGTGGTGTACTGTTATAACCACACATGCTGTGATTTATTCTATATTTTTATACGTTTCAGTTATTAGCTATTATTTATTGTGTAAGTATAGTAGGTATCCTTAAAAAAACTCCAAGGAAAAAATGAAAGAAGAAAAAATTAAAAAAACAAAAAACAAAGTAAAATCAATACATTTCTCACTTATAATCAGAAATTGGACCGAATTGTATAGAATTATGAATAGTTCAAGCATTACATAGTTAATATATGAAGGTGCTTATTAGGATAACTCAAAACAATTTCTGATCGTAATAAAAATACATTTTGTACTTAAACGTGGAATGTAAATTACTATACTAGATACAGTAGTAGGTATTTTGAGTACGTTAACAAAAATTATAGTTATGAAATATTAATGTTTAGTAATTATTGGTTGTTATTATAAAATTGATATGTTTGGTCAGTAAAAGTTAAGGTGAACATAAATATTTTATTTTTATATAGTCAAAAGTGGAAATTATGTAATGTATACCTGTTAAAAAATACATATAATCTTAAATCGAATAGAGCGGATCGTCCGATCGTCTATTAAAAACGATAGGTTCTATTATGTTTGTTTACCATGTAATTCGGATTTAATGTCTGACACAGCAATGCTATAAAAAAGAAACATTTTTGAACAAAGAAAAAAACATATCAGTACAAATTTAAACAATTCTCATTTGTGTATGTATTAACTTATAATAATGTAGTACCTAACTGATATATACATCTTTCTGATGATTTAAAATTAAATATAATCGGCAAACACTTCAACATTTTGTTCACCCCACATTATTAATTTATATTTTACAATGCGTATTAGGGCTCTATTTTACTGGTTTAAAAATATGCATTTTTTTTAATCGAATATATCTGAATAAGTCAATATATTTCAGTAATTATTACTAATTAAGTACCATCACCGGTTTGCCTATATTCTGTTGTTTCGTTTATGAACTTTTTGACGATGGTGGAGTAATGAGTGCATTATTATACTGCTAAAATGAGTTCAATGTCATGTAATTTCTGTATAAACTGAAAATCATTTCTATACGTCATCGTAATATGGGAAAACATTTTTTTTTCTTAATCATCAAATATAAAACATATATTTAAAACGAAAAAAACACAGCGATAATATTCGGGTTTTTTTTTGCGATTTTATTCAGATTATTATTTATTAGCTATTACTATTGTGTCCTACAAAACTATAAATGTTAATAATCATTGCTGAAAATTAATTTGTAATCACAAACAGAAGTTTCCAAAATGTATTTCAATTTTCAATTAATTTACAAATTAGTTAATATAATTGATAATTATAATTTAATCAAGTTCTTTAATGAGGGGGGAGGTGCTGGAGTTAAACATTTATGCATGCGTAATTTCTAAATGCACTTCAGTATTGCATAGCTTGAGACGAAAACTCATAAATAAATGTATTAATACTTAATAAATGAATTTTAAAATATCATTCAGCGAAATCAATAATAAATCGTAGTGATGTAAATCCGGCCAAAGGATATGGTGCAACATTTTGCAGATTACTTAAAAACGAATAACAATAAATAAATTAAAACAATAAACAAACACTTTTAATAATTATGACTACGCACCGGAATATATACCATCCGACAGGATGAAATCGGTGTGTAACAATGTTATCAATTATCATACACAATAAAGTAAGATAACTAATAATTAGCATGTCCGCTCAATATTAACGTACTCCGATTAGCATTAGTTTCGCATTAATTTTACGATTACCAAACATTAAACTTTATACTATTATTATGGCGGTTGAAAAAAGAAAAAAAGTATAGGCACCTACGCATAATAAATTAATAACAATTATTTTATGAATATCAACTGTTTAATTACGTCAGAGAGCTAATTATTTTAGTTTAAAGTCGAATGGTAGATCTGATATCAACGATTTATAAGACCTGCATGATTTGCACTCTGTATTATACAAAATGACTCCGCGATATAATAATAATAATATATAATATTCATTATAGCGGATATTATTATACATTAATTAATATACTAATCAGTGACATTGATATCCGTGCGGACACCATCAATAACATATTTTGCCCATGCCACCTGTAATGGACGCATACGTAAAACACACGAATGTATCTTTAAATAATCATTTTATTAAAATGTTCAGTACGATTGAGCTCGGGACGAATAAAACCGAATCGTGGAAGCCGAATAACGGGTTAAAAAATATGCTAATGAACCGCTGTACCCATAAAGCTTGGTAGACACGTGGTATTCGAGGGGATTCGTTTTGCAGATAATTTTTAAATGTGTCTGTCTGTATACTATTATGAGTCTACTGCAAAACGAACATGATAATAATATAATACCTTTGATCTCGCGGGTTGGCCGATGCCGGCGTTCCTGTTCTGTCGTTTTTTTTTTTTAATTTTTTGCTTTCATACCGAACGGCGATTAACGTTTAATCGATTGGGTTATTAATATAAACATACCTGTAATGCTATAGTTATTACAGAAACACATAAATTACGACGGGCACATGGGTATTATAAGCGCCCACATTCAAACGGAGGTGTCACATTGCGGTTTAATTGCGATTCCGATCCATAGAATTCGATCGCACCTAATAACGTTTGCACGTTTCCCCGACTTGTATACCTATACCGCATTATTATTATGATTACAAGACCATGCAATATTCACCTGTCTCGGCGAACCACCCCGACCGATGCAATTTAGTGCGCAATAATATAAAACATGATTTACCTGTGTGTGTGTGAGAATTGCGCTTAAATGATTTATTGAGGTCTGTGTCAATGAGAGTAAAGGTGAATAGTTAGCCGTTATATTAATGTAATAATATATTTAGCTGCGATCGTGAGCGCCGATCCGAGTAAAAACAGGTGGGAGTAACCACATTTACCTTATTGTTCGCAGCAAGCTATACGGCCGGGGAGTTTAGAACATTGCAATTTTTCAAAAAAAAAAAAAAACATCAATTTGATTTCAATTATAATAATACAATAACGAGTAACTTATTATCGTAATTAACTTTCGACTTAATGCAAATAGGTATGTACTATTTATATACTTATCGCGTTCATTTCCTATCCGTTTTTATGCGCATCAGATTGAGTTGATTCTTGAGTTAAGTGATAAGTGCATATAAATACATTTATACTTTATGTGGCATTTTAGCATTTATGATTTATGTTACATAAAATCCATATAAAGATACTTTCTCCTATATTCATCTGTGGCTAAAATCTTAAATAAAATGACATCTGAATTCGACTATAAATTAAGCGGCTTATATTTTTTTCACGATTAGAAAATAAAAAGTTTTAGCTTTTGATTAAGTTATAGCATCGAGTCAATATCCATTATAGGTGTTCAAAAATCGATCAATTATATTTCTATTTATTTTGCTTGATATGACTTTTGATATCAATTCGTCGGCCATCGTTGCAGTGGAGACTTTAACATGGATCACTCACTCTTGGAGACCTATATCTACAGGCAATAACCATCACGCAACACCGATCTTTCCCTCAGACTTGTTCGGTATAAGTGAATATTATATAGTGGCTTTTCTTGATAAGCCGGTCGGACACAAATCGCTTCCGTGACGATGGTCATTATTGTAGCACTGCCAGGTTTCGGGTCCTATAAATACCACTCGGCGCCCAGTCATAATGTTGTATCACGTCTATCAAGTATATCAGAACAATACGACGATAATATAATTATTGTTGGGCGTGGAGTCGATTACAACGAGGGGCGAGGGATAAAAACGCCGCTGGTGGCTGCAGGTCGGTACGCATTATACGATAGTAAAGTATAGTATAGTAGTGATGCTTTTCTAAATCTCTGACTGCACGAACGTTACAATGCTGCGCTGTATACAGGGTGATTCACCAAGAATGCTCACACATCCATTTATTTTTTTCAAATATCGAGTATTCGGATTTATTCTAATTCTGATTTTTGGAACTTTTAGGTATACTTTAGGGACACATTTTCAAATACTTAAATTTTTATACCATTTAAGGAATGTCCAACCAACTTATTCAACTGAAAATCCCCCCTTTCCCCTATAAATCGTAATTTGATGAATTTGTTGACAATGTTGATGTAGGTTTTTAAATCCAAACTCAGACGAGTAGGTTTTGAGTTATTTAATACTGTAGAATAAGGATAATATCTATTTTATACTTTTGCAAAACCATTTTTAAAGATTATTGTCCTTGTTATATACAACTCAATAACTCAGAAACCGTTAGTACAAATAATGAATTACACTGTAATATATATATAAATATAAATAAAATACTTTTTACCATGTATGTCACAGTAATTTTGTTTTTTACAAAAAAAAAAAATGACCATTCATTAACCGTGTACCTACTTTAGTGTTGTATAGGTGCATGCAATACAATTATATAATATCGTATACGAGTGCGCACGAAGTGTGACGCATATTAGGTACCTACGTATAAACATCACAATATATTAATAATTATTCTAGACTGTCGTTATTATTATTATCATCATCATACTACAGTGTGTTAGTGTTTATGAGTAGTTTTATTGATGGTGCACTCCGCCACTGATGTTGGGCGTACCTACCTAACTCGTATAACATTTTAAAATGTTATATAACATGGAGGTCCCCGAGTATACGCGATTGCAGTCCACATAAATACAATAATAATAATATAAATAATAAATATAAG